TTTACATTTACATTGATCAATTTCGTTCCTCATGTTAAATTTGACTTTCCTGGACTAATTCTCATTATTGAAAATGGTGTCTCTTTAATGCATTCGATGTTGTATTCTATCAAATGTGCTGAAATAATTGTTTGTATAAGATGTGTTTTACAATTCATGTCAGGTGTGGTTTCTCGTTGCGAGATTATATATTACAATATATATTTGGGATGTATTAAGCGTAATATAAGTAACTTGTTCAATTCTGAAGAGCACTAGTTCACAACTGGTTCTTAATTATTTCGGCTTGGTTATGTTGGTTCTTAATTATTTCGACTTCGCAAGTGTTTGCAGTGAGATATGTTGTGTTCGGTATGATTCGTTTACCTATAAGGATTAGCTTGCATAATTTACAGTGTTTGATTAAATTTTCTTGGTCTATGACAATGCATTCGTATACTGTTTGAAATGTTAGTGTTTCTGGTATGTTAATTGTGCTCAATATCGTGCCGGGATTTTTAGATATCGAATAGTGTTTTCGTAATTTCAACATTTGTTTCTAGAAACGTACACTTATTATATGACCTATCTTAGTTCCTCTAGGTCACTTCTTATATTGTCATAAATAATCTAATGTCATAAATAACCTGAATTCCTCTATTGGCTCTACGGTATTGTATGAGATATAGTTCTTTATTAATTTTGTGTAGGTCTGTAAAGATTTCTCATTAGTTAGGATATCCGTGTGAAACCTTTCTTAACCTTAAGTGGTGTCGAATTGTTCAATAATTTTGTACATAAGATATTCTAAACTAATTACATTGAGTGCAAAATCCTCTGCTTCTACCATTTCTTCAGATAATCGTTCTTGTACAGTCGAGAGATTCAAGAGGTATTTGATCATTAGTGTTTGATTCTTCACTGCCTGTGTAATTTTGTTGTTTGCGTCGAAAAGTTCGACTATGTCTTGACTGATTAATTCTAAGCCGCTACCGTCTTATGTGTCAAAAAAGGAATTAGAGATACTTCCTACAAAAGTAAACAGTCCTCTCATTAAACTTAGACGCATCAAGTTTTTATAATGTACATATATATTATCCAATGTATCAATATTCACTTTTAATGCGTTAATTTTCGAAGATACTCTTCAACTGCTTTGCCCACTTAGTCCATTTAGTTCATAAAATTGGTCAATTATTTTCTCTTTTTGCTTATTAAATAATGCTCGTATCTACTTCTACTATTAAATTTACTCGTTGTGGTAGAGGAGAACTTCATTTGTATCTAATTTAAATAAATTTCTTATCTTCTAGGTGAATAATCAATTTTTTTGCTTATCACTAGTGTTACTGTTGCCAATGATATGAGCTTATTCATCTAAAATCAAATTTTAAATATTTTTCTATTATCTATTAATCTATTATCGTGTAATTTAATAAATCTTACATTATGGTATTCACAGTTGTATTAAGAGCTTTTTAATTCGTCGATAGAGTCCCAACCATTCAGAATCAAACATATTCCTTTATAATCGATAACCATTAGAATATTATCATTGACTTTCAACACTTTCTTAATTTAATATTTTTATCTTGATTTGTTTTATTTGTAGCCGTATCCTTCTCCATTATTACCTTTGCTCTAGCTAAATATAACTCGTGTTCACGTTTCCATGAACAAAATACATGTTCCTTGCTCGTTGCAGTAGCAGCAGCTATTGCACTCAGCAAGTGGGACTTTCTAACAAAAGTCAAATCATAAAGTGTACATTCTATAATCTCATAGATTGCAGTGTTATATTCAAATCAAATTAGATTCAATATCCCGTCCCATTACCTACCTCTGTACTTAGAATAAATTATTATTAAATCTCCCGAGCGTGTGCAAGCTAGTGGATTCAATAATGGTAATCTTAGAACTTCTTCAAATTCCATCATCAAATTTGACACAAAATTCGTTCAGTTAGCTTCGTTTTAGGTGTGGAAAATACGTAAATATAATGATCCATCCATTTCTCTATTATAGTCCGTGCTTGTTGTTTGGGAAGCGGTAGAAGGATAAGATATTTGGTTAAAACATCTTGTGTTGATAATACATATTGATTACTATGCGGTTCATTTGTAACAGTTCGTATATGACCTAGCTAATTTGTCATTTGTGTCGGTAGGTGTGTCTGGGGTGGAAACTGCATCTCTGAGTCTAATTCTCATCAATTTTTCAAGTTGGCATACCTTGCATTTACATATCATATCTTCTATCTCCTTATTCATGTTGAGCCAGGAATATTTTTCTTTGATTATTGCTAGGGTTCTCCAAGGTGTTGTAATTCTGAATTGCGGCATTCCTTGATTTTTGTCTGTTCGTCAATCGGTATTATTGCTTCGCGTGAGAATGTGTTATTTTTATTGCGGTCTTTAAATGCTAAGCACTCTAATATATTACTGATTTGTTCTACCAGATTCTCTGATAACATATTATCTTGTATTCCTATTTGGGTGTAGTTTTATATCTTTTAATTTCAACAGTAACTCTGTTTCTCTGGGGCAACTAACTTCTAATCTTTAAATTTGTTTTATTTTGTCACGATTCATTTCTTCCTTAAAGTTAGGACGATTTTCTTCCCTGGCTAAATATTCTATATAACTTTCGAAGACGAGTATACTATTACCCGATTCCGTAACCTCGTCATTGTCTTTCGATTCTATCGTCTAATTTGTTCGTTCGAAGAACTCGTCTATCGTGTTGTCTTCAGTGTCGTTATATTTATGAGTAATGTCTATTCGTGACAACGCGACAGAGGTCAGACTATATTTTCTTTCATGAAAAGAATATTCTATTTCGTATTCTTATTCCTTTAATCAAAGTCCCCACCTAGTTAGCCTTGAAGATATGTCTTTGATATTATGTAACTATATTAATGCTAAATGATACTAATTTTAAACTTTCGTCGTAACAAATATTGTCTTTGTTGTTATAAAGTCGAGACTACCATTAATAATTCTTTTTCGGTGGTCGTATAATTTGTTCCTGCGTCAGTAGAGAAGTAACAACATCTGGGATGTGCATCTTGAAACCATACTATTCCTAGACCCGCACTACTTAATTCGGTAGTTAGTACGAATTATTTATTAAAGTCAGGATATTTCAGAAATGGTTCCTCACATAATTTAATTAAGTGTGTCAAAAACAATCTGCTGCTAATCAATCCATCTGAATTGTTCGTCCTTTTTTGTTAACATCGATATGTTTATAATAGTTTAGCCATCTTTGCAAAACTTTGAATAAATTTCCTACCATAAGCTGCTAGACCTAGGAACTATTTAATTTCATAAAGCTTTCTGGGTGGTCTGAATTTTTTGCTGCTTCAATTTTTTTCTGATTAGGTTTTACTTTATCTTCAATGATAACGTAACCCAAATATTCTAATTCAAAACTTAAAAATTCGCATTTCTACGGTTGTAATTTTAAATTTAAATCTGTCAGTCGCTGGAGTATTGTTACTAGATTCGTATTGTGTTGTTGTTTCGTTTGTCCAAAAGTAAGTATATCGTCATTATGTGAGGTAGAGTATTTGCCAGTTAGTCCTCTTAGTGTTCTCTCCACTGGTCGCAGAAAAGACGCCGAGGCATTTTAAGTCCCAACGGCATTCGATTATACTGAAAATGTTCTTCGGTTGCTGAAGAAACAGTATATTTTTATGAATTTGATTATATCGGTATTTGATGAAATTCGGATGACAAATGTAAGGCCGAGAAAAATTTTGCGTCTCCTGGTTGATATAAAAACGTATCATTATCGGACAAGGCATTAGCGACCTAGCAGACCTTGTCTGTGATTTCATTGAGCTTTCTCGAATCTATAACAACTCGCCATTTTCGTTTGCATGTTAGTCTAATTTTTTGGGCACATCACAGAGAGGTGCGTTATAGGGACTCTTGGATGTCTTTGTTATTCTTTTTTATCTAACATTTCGATAACTTGTCGTTTAATTTCATTTCGGTGGGAATCAGGTAGCCGATAGTTCCTTACATTAATCAGCTTGGTGGAATTAACATCAAACTGACGGAACGTTAGATCGGTACAAAACAGTGTCCATGTCTATAGAAAAAGTTGAACTATAAGAAAGAATTATTTCATGTAATGATTCCCATAATCATGTTTCTACATGATCTACTCTGATTTATATTCTTAACTCTTTGATTACGTCAGTTAAACTTCTGCTTCCGATTTCAATTGTAGTGTTTTGAATTATGTGCTCATTAGTGTTAATGCTACATACCATTGATGTTTTCTATCATGGCTCACTTGAATCACGTCACTCACCTATGGCGAGGATCACGTCACTACGAGTCGGTATTCTATTCTTACAAATCAAATAGACACTAGTTATTGCATGTCAATATTTCTAGATGAGATGTAGGCCAATTATTCCATATTCTAGGATAGGAAAAGAATCGGGTACGACATGGAACATACGTTCATTTCCTAATATGTTAATTTTAGTTGCGAATTCTGGTCTACGAATATCGTTTGATTTTCTTCTGAATTTCTACCGAATTTCTTCTGAATACCGTTTCCCATTAGAACTTCGAGTTTTTTTCTATTAGTGAATTATCTGTTACTCCCTGCTTCATCTCATTAATAACTGATCCTGTGTCCAAGAGTAATATTTCGGGTGTTCTTGTGCATCTTTTAAAACTTCCTCCAATATAACGAAGTCCATCGGGTATTCTGTTGATTCTGCTTTTTCGAACACTCTCTCTTCTGGCGGTGGTTGTATGTCCGTCCTGTTTTCTTGTGGGGCAGCTTTTCCTGCTGGCGTGTTCAAAATTTCTGGCATTTGCTTGTCAGAAGTCCGGTGTGTCCGAAATTAAAACATTTCGTCTTCTGTCTCTCAGCAAGAGGTGTGCGTATATCTCGTCTCTCAATTGGTTTAGTCATAGTTCTAAACGTAATCATGCTCGACTTCTTCATATTCGTTGATCGAAAATTTGGTTTTGTCGACGATTGGTATGATTTCATCGGTCTATATTGCTCTTCATCGTAGCTAGTTCGTTTGCTTTCAGGATTGTACCAATTTCATGTTTAATACCGTTAATGTAAGTTTTCGTAGCTGTTTTTTCCTCTTATTCTATTACTATTCTTCTGTTGTTTGCCACTTTGTGCTTATTTTGTACTGTATCGTACTGCAGTTTATTGATTTCTTTTCTAAAGCAGTTATATAATCGTTAATATTTTCATTGTATAACTAATAAGTGTGGACTAATTTCGCTCTAGTTATAGACATCGTTTGTCATGCAACATGCGTACGGTGTGCATTGTATAATTCTTCGAAGCTATTCAATTTCAAATACTTGATCGAACTTTCTTCATGTCCAGTTATCATTTTTGATAGTATCAATTTCAATAGCATGTGCTTATCGTTGCATTGTATCCTCGCATCTCGTATATCCTGTATAAAATCTTCCACTGCCAAATCATCTTGCCTTTCAAGCGTTCTAACCGTAAGGATTATCGTTGCAGCTTTTGCACCTCTATTTCTCTTATCTTCGTTTTTTTGGTGAGCTATACTTGTTTCTTCTCAATCGCTGCCATTCTAATCTACGCCTACAAATATCGGTCGTTTGCTGCACTTTTTACTAGACGCGACTGGTTGACTGATATCATCATATAATCTATATGAATATAGAGTTTATTTGCTTATCCTACAATTTCTTGCCCTTTCCTATTATCAGTTTCATCTATCAGTTTCAGCGTCGTTTCTATATTTTTGTTAGTTTTATTCATAATCCTATTCATACTGACGGCTTGTTGGCTTATCTTCCCATCGAGTGTTTAATAAGCAAGACTATCTTAATCCTTGTCCTTTGAGAATGACGGAATTTCCTTGTTCAGGCGATAAGTATTGAAAGATATTATGTCTTGTTTCGCGATCCTCAAATTTTCCAACGTATTGACCATATTCCTCCGCTCTTCAGTTCGTCTTAACGCCCGACTCTTTGAAGTTTATTCATTCTTTGTATGGATTGCTGAGGATCCTGGCAGGATAGCCAACATGTCACGATTTAAACTCGATATGTCACACGATATATCAGTTTAAACACAAATAATAATAATTCTGTACTTGTTTTAAACTTTATTTAATAGTTCTCATCCAATGCTCAGTGGCAACTGATGTCACTACAATCCTAGAGCTCCACAAACCATTTACCCATCGCCGATGACTAGTTGTGAGGTAACGTAAACAAAAGAATTTTTTAGGGGGGGGG